GGTCACCCCTCTAAGCAAAAGACACTAAACACCAGCAATGGAAGGGAACAGAGGTCCAAAAAGACCAAATCTAAAGCCTCTAAAAGTACATCAGCACACTCTTCTTTACACGCAATAGAGCATGAAGCTTCACCGCTGGAAGCAGGTATGGATAAACAGGATCCACGCGTTTATAGAAATAGTTAATGAAAATGTCCTCACCCTCAGACCAGCCAAGATCTAGATGAGTTTGTTTGTTCATCTGAACAGATTTGGAGAAATGTAGCATTGCATCACTTGCTCACCAGTGGATCCTCTGCAGTGAATGGGTGCCGTCAGACTGAGAGTCCAAACAGCTGATTAAAAACATCACAAGTAATCCACACATCTCCAGTCCATAAGTTAACATCTTGTGAAGTGAAAAGCTGCATATTTGTAACAAACAAATCCATCATTAAGGTTTTCATTTTAAACCGTCGGTTTTCACTTTAGGTTTTAACTTTAAACTGTCATTTCCGGCTAAGATACGACTCCTTTATCAATTAAAATTTTTCCAAATCTGTTCTGATGAAGAAACAAGCTCATCTGCATCTTGGATGGCCTGAGAGTGAGTACATTTTCAGCAAATTAAATTTTTGCATGAACTCTGTCTTTAAATGTCAGGAGGGTATTGCTCAATGGCTTTTCTATAATAATTGTTTTTTTTTTTGCTTTATTTTTTTTATAGCAAAGAGAATGCAGGAACCAGCAAGTTCACTTGTATGTCCGATACCAGAAGATATTGTCATCATAGAGGAGGATGCTGATGATGTCGCGGTGGAGAGCATGGTTCGCTCCGTTCAGATGGCTGAGGATGAAGCGTATGCCAGAAGCCTTCAGGTACGAAGCTTCGCTCTCCTGATCCTTCCCCTGAAACAATAGAGAAGTGACTAACTCTGTTGTTCTGGTGTTTGCAGGAACAGTTTGATATGGAGGAGCGAATGGAGCAGCAGAGGCTACAGAGCAGATCGCCAAGCAGAAACAACCACATGGTCAGTTTGGGTTTTTGCTTTATTTGGAGCACTGAATGATGGTGCTGTGATCATATTCAAACAAAAATGGATGGTTTCTTGCAGGTTGATCCATATGTTGGCTTGGGCTGGATTCCTCCTTGGGCCTCGATCAACTCTGCACCTTTCTCACACGGACCCCCTGAGCTTTCAGAGCTGCAGCAGGTCATCTTTGGAGAGCAACCCCGTAAGTCACCATACATGAGCCAATCTCTGTCTTGATGATTTCATTTGAATTAAAAGCAGGTTTTAATAAATTTTAAAAATCATATTAGTATTAATTATATGTGTGTATCAGATATTAATTCTAATAAATATGAATTGGTTTATAGATATTGTTTATCATTATAATATGCAATATGTATATACAGTGGGTACGGAAAGTATTCAGACCCCCTTCAATTTTTCACTCTTTGTTATATTGCAGCCATTTGCTAAAATCATTTAAGTTAATTTTTTTTCCTCATTAATGTACACACAGCACCCCATATTGACAGAAAAACACAGAATTGTTGACATTTTTGCAGATTTATTAAAAAAGAAAAACTGAAATATCACATGGTCCTAAGTATTTTAAATGATTTTAGCAAATGGCTGCAATATAACAAAGAGTGAAAAATTTAAGGGGGTCTGAATACTTTCCGTACCCACTGTATATATATAGAACTTAAAAAACATTACTAGATATTATACAACATATTCTATAGTATAATTGAAATTACAATAATTGTTATTTTTATATATTGTATAATAATAATAATACATTTTATTTGTAGTGCACCTTTCTTACACTCAAGGCACTACAACATGGTAAAAAACAACAATAAAATTACATAACAGTAAAATAGCACATAAAAAAATAACACATTACTCCAAATCACAAAAAAGAAAAAAGTGAAAAAAAAATATATAGTTATATAATAAAAAAGTATTTTATGCTCACCAAGACTGTATATGTTTAATCAAAAACTATAATATTGTGAAATATTATTACAATTTATGATGATTTAAAATTATATTTTAATATGTAAATGATTCATGTGATGCAAAGCTGAATTTTCAGCAGCCATTACTCCAGTCTTCAGTGTCAGATGATCCTTCAAGAAACATGTCTTATTATTAATATTGAAAACGGTTCTGCTGCTCATTATTTTTGTGAAAACTGAAATATTTTTTCTGGATTCTTGCCATAAAAGAAAGCATTTATTTGAAATAAAAATCCTTTCTAACTATGTAAACGTCTTTGTCACTTTTGCATCCTTGCTTTAATAAAAGTATTAATTTATAAAAATAAAAAAAACATCTTATCAAATGCAAACCTATACTGCATTCAAAATTGAAAAAAATTGGATTTTTTTATATATATATATATATAAAAAACTTTTTTCTTTTGACTGGACAGGCAGACAACAGGGCCGCCGTCAAACCGGAAGAACTCGCAATTCCCGCCGCAGACAAGCTTCTCACTTGCAGATGGACTTGTTTGATGACAGCCAGGGAAATGATTATGAGGTTTGAGTTCTGCTAATTCACAGAAATCACATGCTTGACTACAATTCTACAATTCTAAAATGCTGTCTTATCTCTGATGCTGTTTGTTGCTTTGTCAGGCTCTCTTAGCGTTCGAGGAGCAACAAGGTGCTGTAGTAGCCAAGAACACTCTGACAAAGGCCGAGATCGAACGGCTGCCCATAAAAACGTACAATCCCACACACAGCGCAGGAAAAACAGAGTAAGTCACAGAACTGGATGCAACAAAAGAGATTTCCCATAATGCAATAGTTTAATCATACTCTCTTTACAGTTGCCAGATCTGTTTCAGTGAATACAAAGCGGGTGAACGACTCAGGATCCTTCCATGTCTCCACGATTACCACGTCAAATGCATCGATCGCTGGCTAAAGGTCTAGCTTGTTTTAACAACATAATCCCATAATTCACAGTTGCTTTTTACTAATCATTTTCTGTGTTTGTTACAGGAGAACGCCACATGTCCCATCTGCAGAGCGGATATATCAGAGTGTGGTGGTTTTTCTTGAGCGCACGACTTCAGGACTCAGTATCTACCTCACAGCTGGTCATGTTACCCCATTTGACTTTTAAACAGTCTTATTTTGAGTGTTATTAAATGCTTTTTAAATGCAAAATATTGTCTGATGTTTGAACCAGCATAAAGCACTGCCAAGCACTGTTTTATTTATAAAGATCCTTCTAAAACATATCAGACACGACTGTATCACACCAGTGGCAACAAACCTGCTAGCAATAGCTGAACTTGAATTTTGGATTTTCAAATAAAATCGCTTAATTTTTTTTGCCCGTTTTTATTCAAATGTGTAATTAGGATCATATATGTTGCTGTTACAGTCATTCTATCACTGCTGTTCTGTTGTTTATGTAAATATCAAGCAGCGTGCAGCATGTGATTTTATTCACTCTGTTTCGTAATATCTCTTCTTCAAGGCTCTGTACTTCCGGAGGTAATAGAGCGCCTCGAGCTCTTTCACCACGAATTCTCCTCGGCTGATGAGCTCTTTGATCTTCTCAGGGTCGCTCACATCTTTATTCTTGGCAAACGCAGCCCCTCAGTCTGTCTCTGAAATAGTCGGCTCCTTTCGGATACTCCCGTCCAAGAAACAGCAACTTCAATCAGAAGAATCAGAAGAGAAGACAGGATTATGAATTTCTAATGCCTAGAGTTACAGATGTGTGCAGAATGTTTTTATTTTCCCCCCTCCATACTTTAATATGTTTATCCTCTTCATATAAATTAAGACTGACTTAATATAGTTAGTTGATATTAGGCAGATTGTATTGTCAAATTTAAGTCCAATGAATACTTTTCAGTCTTGGTTTATTTTTTCTTACAAAAAAAATTTGTAAAATACCTCAGCAGTTCAGACCAACCTTTTTGTCAGTTGGCACTGATATAGTCTGAACATTTAGGGGGTTTTTTTTGTACAATAATGGGTACAATTAAGATTATTTTTTATATTATAAAAAAACTATACGAAAACACTGGGAGAAACGCTTTGGGTAATTTGACTTTTGACTCAGAACTTTGAAAATTACAAGAAGGGTTTGCTACAGTCAAGAAGAAGTAGATTAGTGAATATGTATAATTGTTCATTTTGTTTTCATGGCATTTAAAAGCAGAAGGGGGCAGTGTACAGTTTTGTACAGCTGCCCTACCTCTGCTCGGAGTGGGTTGGCAATTTCTCCAAGTAAACACACTTCAGATGACCCGTTACCACTCGGCCAAGTTTTTTCCAAAGCGGACGGCGATTAAAAACACCTTCATTTTCTAGACTACATAATGATGATTAGCTTTCAGATGTATTGCTGAAAAATCAAAACAAGCTTTGTTTTCTACTTGCTAATGTCTCATATTGCCCTTCGGACGCAATGAAAACAACCAGGGGTATAACTTGTGTTGTCATCGAATACACAAAGTCAAAATAAAAGTCCTCAACAGTTTAATACATGTCAAGGACCCTTTTCACATTTCCGGGTTTCTCAGCAGCGGAAGTCGTCATAGTTGGGTTAACTTGAAGAGCAGTGAATGGGAGAGTACCACAAATATATTTTTTGCATTCCCATTTGCTCAAATAGCAAAAGAAAATCTCCACGATAGTGTTTTCGTGACTTACAATAAAAGGAAAAAAATTGAGAGACTGATTAACGGCAGTCAGAAGAGAGTACAATGTCAAATTTACCGGCCCTCCCATAGACGCTGCATTAGAAACACCCTCGCATTAGCCTTAACTGTGTTTTTGTAATTTGATGCAAAGGTGATATAATACAAATAGTGTTATAAGTGTACATACATTTTTTTAAAATACAAATATGAAAAACTTTCGAGGATTTGTGATGCTGATGACCGTCTTCCAGGTAAAAACAAACCAAACGTAAACATCGTATGCCATGGCTGTAGTGAAACCGAAAGAAAACAAAACACAGCTACACATGAATGCAGAAATAATTTATTTAGGCCAGTCTATTGGAAGACACCTACTTATTGTGGATTAGGAGCACAGCGTACAGATAATGGGTTTGAGTTAGTCATTTGCTTTTTGTTGCCGAATGTGCTGCCAAGAACATATGAAACTGATTCAAAATGTCATGTATTAAAGCACTGGCATTCAAATAATCTCCAATACACACCTTTTGAAGCTGCAAAATGCACAGATCTGCCTACTCTTACACATCACCAGTGTCCTTTCATTTTTGGCATGTGGTTTGTAAAAATAATCTGGACAAAAATTACGAAGGAGCACAATCCATAGTGGCAAAATTCACACGGAGATGTTTCTTTACTCTACAAAATTCACGCATTACACATCCTAGGTGCCAATACATGCGACTTGTCTGTAAACTAGTTAGGATATACAAAACACACCTTGGGAAAAAAATACAAAGTGAGTTCTCTTCTTTGCTATTTAATTTTAAGGCATAGAAATCTTACAAAAACACTTTATAACCTGAAACAAATACAAAAGTGTGTGCCAATATGACAAATGGAGCAGCAGACAGTGAGCGGTGGTCTGCAGAGTGAAGGCACTAGTAGAAACGTGAGCTTCTCTCTGTCCTCTCTGATTCCGGCCAGTATTCCCCGACTGACACAATGGGAGACACGTGTCTATGGATGTCTTTAATAATTGGCTCGTAGTCGTTTGTTTTCTTCCCTCAGTCTTTCTATCTCCTCGATGAGGGAGTCGTTCACAGAGTATTTCTCAATCAGACCATGGATTTCATTCTGGAAAAGATGAGTGGCATGATTAAAGAGGCGTAATAATCTTTTTTTTTTTTTTTTACTTAATTATGGATTTGGCCTGTAAAAGAGACAAATATACCAGCTGAATATAGAACTGCCGAACCATCTCCACCTGCAGATTGATAATGTCTCTATGACAAGTGTCCCTGAGGAAACAACAAAACAGTCATTAATGACTAAATGACTCTATCTAAATCTGAATATTTATCTGATAGATAGATAGATGTCTATCTATCTAGATAGTATCTAAATATATGGTTTAATTAGTAAAAATATTATATGTGTGTACACACACACACACACACACACACACACATATATACAGTATATATGTCTATGTACTGTATACACACACACACACACACACAATATAGTGTTATTTTAGTATCATTGAGATAATACTGTAGATTTCATTAGTAATTTAAATTCGTTTTTTTACATTTTTAAATTTTTTCTTAATTTTTTTTTTAAGTTTTAATTTTTGTTGTGTTTTCATCATCTCTTTTGTCTTTTAGTGTTTACTAATTTTTATATCAGTTTTAGGTGTTTTCATTTAAGTTAAACTAAACGAAAACAAGAAATGATTCCTTGACATCTAACTGAAATACAATAACTTTTTTTTACTATAATAACCCTGATATATACACTACCGTTTAGTTTAAGTTTTGGGTCAGTCATTTTTTTTTTCTTTTTTTTTTTTAATAAATTACTACTTGTATTCATCAAGAAATCATTACATTGACCAAAAGTGACAAAGATATTTATCTTACAAAAGATTTCGATTTCATGTTCTTTTAAACTTTCTATTTATTAAAGAACAAAGAAAAAATGTAGCAGTTTCTACAAAAAATTTAAGCAGCACAACTGTTTTCAACTGATAATAATACAAAATGTTTCTTGAGCATCAAATTACCATATGTGACCCTGGAGCACAAAACCAGTCTTAAGTCTCTGGGGTATATTTGTAGCAATAGCCAAAAAAAACATTGTATGGGTCAAAATTATCGATTTTTCTTTTATGCCAAAAATCATTAGGATATTAAGTAAAAATCATGTTCCATGAAGATATTTAGTAAATTTCCAACCGTAAATATATAAAACGTATTTTTTGATTAGTAATATACATTGCTAAGAACTTCATTTGGACAACTTTTAAGGCGATTTTCTCAATATTTAGATTTTTTTGCACCCTCTGATTCCAGATCTCATTTAAAAAAATTGACCCTTAAGACTGGTTTTGTGGTCCAGGGTCACATATTAGAATGATTTCTGAAGGATCATGTGACACTGAAGACTGGAGTAATGATGCTGAAAATTCAGCTTTGTATCACAGGAATAAATTACATTTTAAAATATATAAAAATTGAAAATAGGGCTGTGCAATTAATCACATGCGATTGTCATGCGCATCTCGTCAGTAAAGCCGGTTCCGTGATTAGTAGTAAATCGCCATCACCTGCTTTCAGATGGAGCGGCATTTGCTACACAGAGTTCACTGACAAGCTAGGCAATATCGCGTTCATTATCGCAGATGAATCGCATTCGATTATGAACACGATATTGCCTAGCTTGTCAGGCAATATTGTCTTAATTGCACAGTCCTAATTGAAAACTTATTATACATTTAAATCAGTAACTCACCTGAAGTCCTCCAGTGCCTCATGGATCATATTACGGACAAAGTTCATCTGAATGGAGGTGAGCGGAGCTCCACGGCCCTCGGCTCCAGATTCGACTGCCGCCGCTGGAGCTTTAGATCAAAACATCCATCACTCACTTTGTCCCATTAAAGCGACTTTTAATCTAATCGTGGCCCATTCAAACACACCTGGTGCAGCTGCAGGAGGAGCTCTGCTGACCGGCGAATCATAGGTGAGCTGGGTGGGCAGATCTCTCCTCTGACCGGGCTCAGGGGTGTTGTACGTGTTCACAGACTGAACATGTGTGCTCTGAGCAGCAGGGGGTGTGCTAGTGACATCATACTCCTGCCGGAGACCGTTATTCTTCTCCACCTGTCGATAATACAGATAAAAAATGTAATCTATAAATGCAAAAACATATCGGATTATAAATAAAGCGACCTTGTTGCCATTCTGTACATCAGTCTGTTGCGGTGGGGTAGTGATGGACTCCTCCTCTTTGATTGGTGGAGGAGTCTGAACCACAGACGGACTGTAGCAGCGACTGCCTGGAGTGCCCAATGGGGTCTTCCTCTGGGACGACCCACCAGCGAAATGAGGTAGGTATTCAAAGTCTAGTAACACAGAAAATGCTAATGTTGGTAAATGTAAATGAAACCTTGTTGTTTTGTTGTTCTTATTACTGTTGATTAAAATGCAGTTTGTACAAACTTGCCTTTTTTTCCACTTGATACATCACTCAGTCTGTGCCCTTTGTAATCTAAAGAGATAATTAGCAAACAATTAGTGTGTAGATAGACAAATAGATTGAAATACAGTGCCGTGAAAAGGTTTTTGCCTCCTTCCTGTTTTTTAATTTTTTTGCATATTTGTCACACTTAAAAGATTCAGATCATCAAACAAATTTTAATACTACACAAAGATAATGCAAGTAAACACAAAATGCAGTTTGTAAATGATGATTTAATTTATTAAGGGAAAAAAGCTGTTCAAACCTACCTGGTCCTACATGAAAAATTAATTGTTGAATCATGAAAGAACTGATTAACCACATTATTTTAGAAAGCTGAGTTAAATTTCACTAGCCACACCCAGGCCTGATTACTGCCAGACCTGTTGAATCAAGAAATCACTTAAATAGAACCTGTCTGACAAAGTGAAGCATGCTTGAATAGTAACACATCATGCCACTGCTGACCAAAAAGAACACAAAGGCTCGTCTAATATTTTCCAAAAAATATCTTGATTATCCCCAAGACTTTTGGGCAAATATTCTGTGGACTGATGAGACAAAAGTTTAACTTTTTGGAAGGTGTGTGTCCCGTTACATCTGGCATAAAACCAACACAGCATTTCATAAAAAGAACATAATCCCAACAGTCAAACATGGTGGTGGTAGTGTGATGGTCTGGGGCTGCTTTGCAGCTTCAGGACCTGGACGACTTGCCATAATTGACGGAACCATGAATTCTGCACTTTATCAGAAAATCCTGAAGGAGAATGTCCGGCCATCAGTTTGTGACCTCAAGCTCAAGCGCACTTGGGTTATGCAGCAGGACAATGATCCCAAACACACCAGCAAGTCCACCTCTGAATGGCTCAAGAAAAACTAAATTAAGGTTTTGGAGTGGCCAAATCAAAGTCTGGACTTAAATCCGATTGAGATGCTTAAACAGTCCATTCATGCTCGAAAACCCTCCAATGTGGCTGAATTAAAACAATTCTGCAAAGAAGAGTGGGCCAAAATTCCTCCAGCGATGTGAAAGACTCATTGCCAGTTATCACAAACGCTTGATTGCAGTTGTTGCTGCAAAGGGTGGCACAACCAGTTATTAGATTTAGGGGCAATTACTTTTTCACGTAGTGCCAGGTAGGTTTGGAAAGCTTCTTTCCCTTAATAAATGAAATCATAATTTCAAAACTGCATTTTGTATTTACTCACGTTATCTTTGTGTAATATAAAAATTTGTTTAATGATCTGAATCATTCTGAATCATTCAAGTGTGACAAATATGCAAAAAATGTAAAAAACAGGAAGGGGGCAAAAACCTTTTCATGGCACTGTAGACAGACAGACAGACAGACAGATAGATAGATAGATAGATAGATAACATAAAAATCAGTGAAAATCAGTAATTTTTTTAAATTAAAACTTAATCAGCAAGGATGCATTAAATTGATCAAAAGGGACAGAGAAGACTTCTATAATGTTATAAAATACTTCTATTTCAAATAAATGCTGTTCTTTTGAAGGATCGTGGAAAAAAGGAATCATGATTTTCACAAAAATATTATGCAGCACAACTGTTTTCAACATTGATAATAATATGATAATGTTTCTTGAGCAGCAAATCAGCAAATTAGTGTGATTTCTGAAGAATCATGTGACACTGAAGACTGGAGTAATGATGCTGAAAATTCAGCTTTGATCACAGGAATAAATTACATTTTTTAATATATTCAAGCAGAAAACAGTTATTTTAAACTGTAATGATATTTCACAGTATTACTGTTTTTACTGTATTTTAACTAAATAAATGCAGCCTTGGTGAGCATAAGAGACTTGGAAAAATCCAAACTTTGGAAGAGTAGTGTCTGTGTCTGTGCAAAACTGTTAAAGAGCGGTTGGAAAAGTTTCCTCACCATCTCGTACAGGTGAAAAGATGTCCAAGCTGTTTCGGCCAACTCTGAAGCGGTCTGTGGAGTGCTGGCCTTCCCCTTCCCTCGAGAACACATCTATACTGCCTCCTAAAAACAAGAGTAATGCCAAGCAAACATTTAGCCATGTAATTAACATGCAACAATCATAATCTCTTGAACTCTGCCATTAATAAAACACTCACCATTTCTTGGAGTTGGAGTATCACTAAAACCATGTGTTTTGAAACCTGTAGAGAGGATGGAAAAGCCCAGAAAGGGACCATAAAAATGAGAAGACAGATGACGATAAAGAAAAAAACAAAAAACGGGCAATACAGTGATAAAAATGCAAAAGAAGCATCATCAGGGATTTTACCATCATTAAGAGGGGAGAAAATATCCAAGTTGAGGCTGTTCCGACCGATGTTGCTCAATTTCTCCATATTCGGCAGCTGGTCTTGACTGTGCTGACCCTCCGCCTCACGGGTGAACACCTCTCCAGCAGTACCTACAAAAACAAAACATTCACTACCCATAAAACCATTACAAAAGCTATAAACAGGGCTTTAAATGCTAACCAAATATGACTGAATAAGGAATAAAATCTTCTATAGCTATAAAAAGGAAGGTGGACCTGTGACTTGGGCTTGTCCATCACCAGGAAATTCAGAGCCTGGCACACCGGGTGGGACTGTAGATGTTGAAGTGGAGGGTCCCGTCTGCTGACCGCCCAGTTTTACTGAGATCCTCTTACTTGATTGAGAAGACTTGCTGGATGTTTTAGTGGACTGTGGAAACAGGGCTGGTTTTTAATATCAAATATAACCAGAGTCAGTTTCAATAATCTTGAACGGTTGAATGTAGGGGCAACATTTTTAAAATCTTCAGATGTTACAAAAATTGTATAGAAATAAATAATAAGACACAATAAAAAAAATAATTAAATAAGATTCACAATACATAAAAATGTAAGTAAATTTATTCAATTATTTCATATAAAATGCATGTTACTGCATCTTTAATCATAATTTAAATAATTAATTATTCCTAGAACATATTTTTAAAACTATATCAGACATTACAACAATTATAAATAAAAATAGTAATAATTAAAAAAAAAATTAATAAAAATTAGAATAATTAAATATTAAAATATTCAATAATTTTACACTAATTAAAATTCTACATGAAATTAATTCAAAGTAATTAATTACTTCATGTCACTGCATGTTACCAATCAATCAATTAAAATATATTCTCAATCTGAACATTTTGAATAATTAACAATTCCTAGAATAGATTTTTTAACTACATCAGATGTTACAAAAACATATACAATAAGTAAATAAATACATACATACAACTTAAGAAAATAATACAATTTAAAATAAAAAGAAAACAATTAAAATATAATTAATTCAAACTAATGAAATGACATTTCTAATTTCATATAAAAAAGCATTGCATGTTACATGCTTTAATCAATTAAAATATATTCTCAATCTGAACAATTTGCAGAATTTCTAAGCTATGTCAGAAGTTACCAAAAAAATTAAAGAAATAAACAATTAAATAAACAAACGTTTGCATGATATTTTTATCCCCACATTTTGAATGATAAGGAAATGAGTCAGTTTAACAAAAAAATGCTACCTCACATGAAACTGAGGGTGGTTCTGTAGAAATGTGTTTATGTACAAAATAACAGACAGCTGTACCTTTAACTTGGAGGTGGAGTTCTGGAAGCGAATGCAGGTCACTGACGTCTTGTGAGCTGTGGTGATTTTGACCGGTGCGCTGAGGTTTCTCAAATCGTACATATAAATTCTGCCCTGCGTTGAGCCCACAACCAGTCCAGCCCCATCTGGAGTAAAATCAATGGCTGTGAGTGGAGACTCCACCTGCTTATTACGAAACACCCTGTGGGGACAAGCACACACATTAAACTGATTAACAATACAGCTTCGAAATCAAACTCCAGTGTCCAAACTGCATATTAAATGTGATGTTTTCTCTTACATTTTGCTGGAAGTGTCATAACAGACGATCTTCTTATCAAGGCCCACAGTGATGAAGAGCAAATCATTGGCCGGAGAGAAGGCCAGCCCTGAACACGGGGCTTTGTGTGTCCCCTCGAACAAATGCAGCTCCTTTTGAGTGTTAGCATCCCAGAGAGCCACAGAGCCACTGTCAGATACCGTGCCCAGCAGAGACCTCTTCACCAGCGAGTACCTCAGATCATGGATGGGCTGGAGAGACATCACATGTTGTATTTTATATTAGGGCTACCTGATTCATCAAAATGAAACAAAGTCTCTGTGCAGTTTTCCACCAAAATAAAATCTAGATGGCTGAACGTTTAAAAATTAAGAAATTAAGACAGTTGTACTGTAAAATAAAGTCAATTTTTTCTCAAATACTCAATTTCTTTATTTTACAGTGAAATATTCTAATTTACACAAAACTAAACTGTGGACAATTAAAATATGTAGTTTAGTTTAGTTCACTCACTACATTTTGCAAGGCTAAAAAAAAATGTCAAACTCACCTAGGCGATAAAACGGTATCGATATTTATCGACGGTACACCTTTGTTCATAATTGTTTATGCAATTTACGAAATTATATTTGATTTATATGAGTTAATGTAGACGTAATGCACATTTTTTTATAAACTTATTTCCTTGCGTTGACAATTTAAATGTGCTGCATTATTTTGCTCATTGCGCCCTCCTGTGGCCTCGGGAGACAAGACAAACGTTTCCTTAAGACCCATTTAATCTGCATATAAAACATTAGAAATTAGATATTTGTTAAATTTTTATTGTGTGTTTGACTGTTAAAACAAAAATATTAGTTGTTTGTCTCAATAAATTGGGTTAATTTAAAAATACAGTGGTTAAATAAAAAAATAATAATTCAATCACTCTTTGTTTTAAAAAAGGTTATAAAAAAGGTCAATAATTATCGATACCGAACGATATGAAACATTATATCGTTGATACATTTTTTAGCTATATCGCCCAGCCCTAAACTCACCACATTTGGCCCATGGCCGAAGGGTTTGCTGGACAGGTTGGTTGTGATACTGTGGAGGATGATTTCTCCACTAGTGGAGCCAGATGCTATGTAGCTATCGCCTCCGTTAAAAGACACACATGTCACTTCCTCCTTGTGGTCCTACACAGAAAGAGACACTGATTAGGTTGCGGCTGTTTTGGGACATTTTTGTGGTTGTACTTTAGCTTCAAAGAAGAACATACTTCCAACAAACTTCCCACTGAATGTCCTTTTAAACTGTCAAATAAGCAATCTATATACATACAAATTATTTTTAACCGTGTGCTACCTTAAGGCTTCGGTGCAACCTTTTTGTCTTTAGGTCCCAGATATTAACCGTGTTATCCAGTCCTCCGCTGACCAGGAACTGTGATGTGGAGTTCAGACTGACACGGGTTTGCTTTTTCTACAAACAAAAGTCCATTATAAGACATACATGACCTAGATATATTTAGATAGGACAGAAGATATCAAGGTGCTCAGCTCACCCCTTCACCCAGCTCCATCACTGGAACTGGAGATGACTTGAGACTGGACACCACCAGCTTGTCTCCTATACTGCTGGCACTGACCAGGTACTGATCTGAACACTGTCAAGGCAAACCCCTACAATAATAAATCAACTAAATCCATGTAGGTGGCCTTAACCACTACGTACTTACATTTAAATTAATCATTTGATATAATGCACTTATTGTGTACATACATGTTTTTATATTGTACTTATATTTAAAACATACCTGCATGTAATTACATCTATAATTAATTTCTATAATTTCACTTATAGTTACACTGTTGACCCATGCCTTACACCTTTACCCAGCCTTAAAGCTACCCATACAAACCTGTCCCTAACCTTACCCATATATCCCACCTCAATAGCAGCAAAACTGTTTTGCAATATAGTATGAACACAATAAATACATTGTACTTATCTTGTGATGTAAGTACATAGTAGTTAAGGCCACCGAATATAAAGTGGGACCAAATTTGCTATAATTAATGTAAATAAATATGCACCATGTTTGTCCAACTCAAGGGGTTTCCATCTTTTAGATGCCACGGACCCCTAAATATAATCATCCTCATGCAAGGGACCCCATCCTAAAATTTTAAAAGCAGCTATATATTTTCATGTATAAAGAAATTTTTAAATAATTAAAATTGGTATACTATGCAAATTGAAAATATTATTTGGAAAATATTTAGTTTCTATTAAGTAACATTACGTTTTCTTTTCTATTCACTATAATACTGTACTATGTCTTATTTATTTAGTATTTCTTTTAATCAAATTTATGTAATTTATTTAATTAATTTAATATAAATGTATTCTACTTGTTTAAGTCTAATGATCGATTTATTTCAATATAATTTTATTCATTTACTTTTTTAAACAATTACATTAATACAATTTTATTATTTTAATATAATAAGTAATATAATTCTTATTTATTTATATATATACATTTTATTATTACTCTTTTTTTTTATTTTACATTATTATTACATTTTATAATTACTTTTCTCCAGAGGAATATCTCTTCTAAAAAATGATACACACACATTATAAAGTCATATGTATATCATATATACAGTATGCATACTGGCATCACTGAGACATGTGAAAGATGCTCAGAATCCTAATGGAAATGGTTTAGAGTGATCTGACAGAGCTAGAGGATACTGCTGCTGCTCCAGCACACTTGAGCCACTGGATGCGTGGCACTGTGAGGGTTGAACTGCTCCAGCACCGTCATGGAGGTCGAGTCCCAGATCTTCAGGCAGTCACCTGACGACACCAGCCGCGTGACGTCCTCCATAGCAACGGCTGTCAGGAGACAAAAGATGGACAGCTGTCAGGCGCGCGACCCACTGTTTTCCACTATTGATTGACAAGAATCCTGAATGCCTGTATAGGAATAATAGTTCCAAATAATCGTATAATATTGCACTTTAAAGCATTATTCTGTCACTTTTATGATTAGCAATTTATAACACATTTTGTATAGCCATAAGTTTATATTTGCATGGTATTATTCGTAGTCTGAATTATTATTTAGTCTGAATTATGCCTTTACAACTCAAAATATCCTTAGTGACTTGGACTAAGTTACATGCAAGTTAGCCAACTAGCAATGCAGCTAATTCATGCAATCTTCTTTAACTTTAGAGCATAATCAAATTCTGTTAACTTACATAAAAGCGACTTTAACCGCTAATTCTGATCAATAACATTTGGAATAAATCCGTAACCCTCGTTAAAAGACCTTTACACTCTGTTCGTGATGTTGTGCTAATAGTTTCTGCATTCATCAGCTGATTAGCAACAGCTAGCTACTTACCCTTGGTTTAGACTATAAAAGTGAAGAAAAAACTGAAGGATACGCTGGTAAAAAAAAAAAGGGTCACAATACATCCACGCTGGTTTAATAAATTAGTCCTTTTATTTGAAAGTAAAACTTTGTCATATTAATAAAGTTTGAACGCAAGTTAGCCAACTAGCAATGCAGCTAATTCATGCAATCTTCTTTAACTTTAGAGCATAATCAAATTCTGTTAACTTACATAAAAGCGACTTTAACCGCTAATTCTGATCAATAACATTTGGAATAAATCCGTAACCCTCGTTAAAAGACCTTTACACTCTGTTCGTGATGTTGTGCTAATAGTTTCTGCATTCATCAGCTGATTAGCAACAGCTAGCTACTTACCCTTGGTTTAGACTATAAAAGTGAAGAAAAAAACTGAAGGATACGCTGGTAAAAAAAAAAAAGGTCACAATACATCCACGCTGGTTTAATAAATTAGTCCTTTTATTTTAAAGTAAAACTTTGTCATATTAATAAAGTTTGAACATCCGTGGCTCCAGTAAGAAACCGCCACTACGGCGCGCCGCTGGGCTCAAAAACAGGAAACGTTCGGAATTACAAGCAAGCAGCAACGCCAGTGTGGGGAGGGCAAATACAGGTCATTGCGTTTATGTGTCAAAGTTTGCATTAATAAACACGACTGATAAGGAATATGCGTTCAAATGCGTTTGTAGTGCTGTTAAATTCAAGTAAACAAAAGGTATTTTGCAATAAGACCAACAGAACACTGGCTAGAAGATGTTAATGCAGTGCACGTTCGGATTTATTTAAGGAAAGACAAAGAAAAAACAAAATCACAAGTAATATAATGTTTTTGAGTGCCATTAAAAAAAGAAAAGTAACTAATCAGTGTATGACCATATTGCATTAAAATTATCATACGTGACCCTGGACCTAACCAGTCATAAGGATCAAATTTTTTTGAAATTGAGATTTAAACATAATCTGACAGCTGAATAAATAAGCTTTCCATTGATGTATGGTTTCTAAGGATAGGACACTATGTGGCTGAGATACAACTATTTGAAAATCTGAGGGTGCAAAAAAATGTAAATATTGAGAGAATCGCCAAAGTTGTCCAAATGAAGTCCTTAGCAATGCACATTACTAATCAAAAATTAAGTTTTGATATATTTACGGTAGGAAATTTACAAAATATCTTCATGGAACATGATCTTTACTTAATATCCTAAT